GGTACGAGGACATTAGCCCTGTTGGAAATATCCTATCGAATTCTGAATTTGTTAGACCAACATCAGATACATTTCAACATACACTTCATTCCGGGCAAATACAACAATCATGCGGACCACTTATCGCGCCTTCGCCAACCTCCAGAATGGCACTTACTAGCGACCTGTGTAGACTTAGTGTTTGCAAAATGGGGAACCCCAGTAATAGATCTATTTGCCTCGGAGACTGCTCATGTAGTACACAATTATGTATCTCTAGATCTAAGAGATCCTCAATGACGATCCACGATGCCTTCAGTTTCCCTTGGAATTATCAGCTCGCATGGATATTTCCACCACCATTCCTAGTCCCCAAAGTCCTGTCTCACTTAAACCAGTCGACAGGAGTATTCCTAATAGTAGTACCTCGATGGGAGAGAGTGTTCTGGCGTGCGGATCTCAAAGCTCGAGCGCTCGCGGCCCCATTAACTCTCAGAAACCTGCAGAGATACCTAATAGACACGTCGACGGGACTCCCACCACCGAAGGTCGAGAACATTGTCCTCGAAGTTTGGAAATGTGGGGGTGGTCCGACGCGATAAAAACGTGGAACGCGCAACAACTATCACTGCTTAAAAATTCTTGGCGAAAATCGACTCTAAAAACCTACGAGGTAGCCTGGAAGCGCTGGATGTCGTGGTGTCGTGATAAAAACCTTGATTTAAAGAATCCCTCTGGTTCACAAGTAGCGCACTTTTTATGTGATTTATATTTAAATGTTAAGTTATCGTATAATTCAATACTTTTACATAAATCAGTAATATCTACACTATGTAACGCTGAAACTTCAAGTCAGTTAAGTTCACACGTTCTAGTAAGACATGTTTTAAAATCAATTGGCCTAAAGAATCCAAAAGTAACTAAGCCTCCAGTTTGGGACGTTGATAAATTAATTTCATTTTTGACTAATTACACAATTGATTCAAATAACCTATTTCAAACGTCACGTCATACTGCAATTTTATTGTTACTTTGCTCTGGTAGGCGAATACACGATCTTACTCTACTTAATATTGATTCTAATCATTGCATACGATCTGAAAACAGTATAATATTTTGGCCTCGGTTTGGCTCCAAAACTGACGGTAGTAATTACAGGCAGTCCGGCTGGAAATTGCTTTTAAATACCGATAGTTCCAACCTTGACCCTATATTCTGGACAGAAAGAACTATAGCATTATTAAACGACAGACGTAATGCGGCAAAATCAACTAATTTGTTTATTACGTTAAGAGGTGTGGCTAAACCTGCTTCACGTACAGTCATTGCAGGGTGGGTAAAGACCCTGTTTGGGGAAGCTGGCATTGCAGCCACTCCAGGTAGCACCCGGTCTGCTGTAGCCTCCAAAAGCTGGTTTCAAAATTATCCCCTCGACGAAATTTTGGCTCGTGGAAATTGGCGATCAGCTAATACATTCCAGCAGTTTTATAGACGAGAAATAATGAGAAGTACTGATTCACAAAACGTCACACAATTTTTCAATCCAATTGATTAAAATTGCTGAATAAACATTTTGAATATTTAGGTTACCTAGAATGAATATTCTTAAATTCTAAAGTACACTTACTTATGTACACTCGTTGAATTGCTGTATAAGTACATTTATTTAAATATATGCATAATTATTAATCACTCTTATGTTTAATTTCATGCTTTGTCACATTGGCCTTTACTATATACACTACATACTTCCAAGTATATACATCTAAGTGGCGTCACCAGGCGATAACAAACAGATCTCATAATAAAGCTTCCAGTGACGGTCAAGTGTTTTAATAGCAGCGTTTTACCTGAAATAAAACGCATATTAAAATACTTACCTCACTGGAAGCTTTCACTTTATTTCTGCCTGGTGTTATGAGACAATGAACAAAAATGGCGTGATACTTTTTACGAAAACTAAAAGCTACTCGCAACCACCAGGTGGCGCCACTGAGCCGGAAGTATAAAGGGGATAAAAGTACGAAAACTGGTAAGAAATCGGCGGGAAACGGAAATGCCATCTCATAATAAAGCTTCCAGTGAGGTAAGTATTTTAATATGCGTTTTATTTCAGGTAAAACGCTGCTATTTAATAATCTAATATATAGTTTAGTGTATGAAAAAAAGGTCGCTAATTGCGGATTTTAAATAATCTAATAATTTGGTTCCTAATATCACGAATAAACAAAATAATCTATCCTAAATAATCAAACCATTATACATCCTAAAATTAACTCAGACAGTAAATGATAAGGCTTACTTTCGATAATTTTGTACTCTAAGGTGGTATTTAAAACATTAATTAAATTAATCACACAATCAACCTTAAGTGCCAAAGTGCTATTAAAGCATTTACAGTGCTAGACCTTACCAAATTACCAGTGATATATACATAGCAAATATAACAATATTGTAGATTTAGTATACATAAATATATACACTTTCGTTTCCTTAAAATACAACCTGTATATCAATCTGTCACGAAATGTGTCAGTGGCCCTAAAAAAATAATATGTATATTTAGAGAAATAATAAATCAAGGCCGATTATTCTACAGTAGAATTAACTTTATTATCATATTCCTTTACCTATTTTACCCTGGATTCTAACGACGCTAAGTCTAATTTATTTTCTTTTCTTAAAGCCTTTCGTAATTATCAATTAATTACAGTTATTTGACATTAGCAAATGTTGCTGTAACAAATATTTTGTTTCATTTGTTTTTGAAAAAAAAACTTTTACAATTGTCTTTGTTTTTTTTTTTGTTTTACATATTGCTGTTATATAAGGTATAGTATAAGGGGCAAACGAACAGACAGGTCACTTTATGGTAAGTGACTACCTGCACCCATGGACTCGGAAATAACTTGTAGTTTAGATTGTACACACTAAATTACTCTATTTTACTAAATTTCTTTAAGGAAATATTCTTAAGATGTAAGTTCAGCCAATCGAAAAGAAAACGAAAGTCAATATTAAAATGAAACATTAATTATAAACCTCGATAAATCCGCCGTATCAAAATGGAAGCGAAAGCGACTACCTCAGATTTATGGCTATATTAATCATTAATTACCAAAGCAAATAATTCGAGAAATAAACAGAATCTTTCCCATACACAATTAGATTATAATTATATAACAAAGAGATCTAGAATAAATTGTACATAATCGCTTTTAGATATTAAAGAACTACGTTTCGTAATTCGAAATTATTCACATTGAAATAAAGTCGACTTTAAGTTCAGTTTTAGTATCGAAAAAAATCACTAACTACATATAATAGCAATAAGAAATAATTTAGGTAAATATTATATTAAAATAAATAGTGTATATATATCTAGCAATTCATTTTCCATGAAGTGAAGAAGAAAGTAAAAAGCTTTCTCTACATTCTGTAACAACACTACGTTCTATTACAGGTGAATGAAATCATTTGCTGTAGTCGTCATACCTTAAAATAAGAAACGAATAGTTCACAATGGAAAATACAATAACGCGGTCAGTGGGTGTTACATATGGTTGAATTAGCCAGTGCAACCAAAAGGCCAATTCTCGTAATAAAAGTTTAGTCTAAATTCAGTCAAAGGTATTTTTGTAGTAAAATTGTAAAGTATTACTAAGACTAGCAGATTACAGATTTAATTTTCGAAAAAAAAAAACAAAACAAAATCACATTACAGTCAACGTTGCATGTACGTAGTACTTTACTACGAAAATACCTTTTATGACAGTTGTGAGATCGAAAGTTGATCGGAACTGAACTGAGATCGAACTTTTATTACGAGAATTGGCCTTCAGGTCGAAATGTCAGGCAATCGATTTCGTTACTATGTTCATGACGACCGTCCATTGAACGTAGGTTTAGCAAAAAGCATACAATCACATTTAGTAAGACTGTGTTAACCCCGAACGTGAAATTTACTGTATACTCGTAATAAATGACCGAATTTATTTATATAAAGCTATAAAATAATACAAAGACAGACAAAACTTTATAATATTTTTGAAACTTGACCTTTTCAATTATAAGAATACCGTTTGAATGAGTTTTAAGACGGTTTTCTTGGTTGTCCAAAATCGGGTAGATGCTTTTACTAAAAAAATATTTCTCCATTTCGCTCAATAAAATTAATTAAAATACTGTTAAAATAATCGTCCAGTTTTCAATTTACTTTCTAATCGTTAAATTCACATTAAAGGCGAACGATTTTGACAAGAGCAAGCCGTGACGTCATGCCTTTTTCTTTTAATTCACATTTAACCCCTCCACCGTATTTTATGGTATTAAAATATATTAAATTTCTTTATTATATAATTTAGTTCATAATATAATGATAATAGAATGTAGTGTTAGCCAAAATGAAGTGTCATTACAATAACCCTTTCTTATTTGTAGTTGTGCAAATAATTAGTAAAGAGAAAAGTGCAAAATTAGATAGGTATTAGTTACATAAGTGAAAAAAAAAAGTTTTTTTGGTAATTATAAATTGAATAATAGAATGATTGATTGGAAAGTAATCAAATTATTGGTTCAGTTACAGTTTCACAAAATTAGAATGTCGATAGTTCCTTAATCGAATTTAGCGTGACTCGAGCTGTTTTAAAATCAAAAAAGATTTTTAAATTAATTTTTGTCTATCTAACGCGGATGAGTTCGCGCTCTATCACGCGTTTTAAACTGTGCCATAGACTAATACGTGCATGCATTTAAAATTCACAGAAATAAAGTTAAATTTTCGTTGTCACAACTTTGTCTCACTTAAATGAGTATCAGTTTTATTAATTTGTTTAACTTGTGACAACCAGATCAGCAGGATCCCTGATTGAATTATGAAATCTGCTTTTGCAATAGAAAATTAAGTGTCTTATTATATTGGTTACAATTTAGACGCCATCGTTTTTCTTTTAATTCTATCTCTTTCTAATTTTACACTTTTAGCAGCGTTCCTTCTACCCTTGCATACACAATTATAGTACCTGTGTCTGCTGCAGTTTCTTGTCGATGCTCTCAATCTTGTCTACCGGTGCGTCTGTTAACTCTGTCAGCTTAGAGTTCAAGTTGGCTGTGAAAACTTCTCTTTTCTTACTCTGTTCTTCTTCATCGGATGTCACTGTCACGTGGGTGTATGGCTGGAAATTAGAATGAGGGTATTTTTTAGATACGTATGTAGAGTTTTATGAAATATACGTAGCACAATGCGTCTTCGCAAAGTATGGTCTTGGAACTCTTCCCAAAGCTTTCTGGAGTTCAGAAAATCTATAGGCCTAAACCTCCTTTCTAAGGCTCTCCTTAGCCTCTGCCTATGCCCAGCATTGGACTATTTAAGGATGTTGATGATGATGATAGTCTATTGAGGCTTGTTTGCCAAATTCATAATTCTATTAGGAGTAATATAACACAGACCCTTTCCTCATGTGAATTATTTGAACTAGCAATATGCAAATCTAAAATATACGCCACCTCTGGCGGCGACAGTTCCAACCGATCAGGAAGTTGGGTATGCTCAGCTACGTGCATGCTTGCGTCAAGAGCATAGGAATGCATATGAAACATCTAGAACGTCAGTAATGTTTTGTTTGAGATCCATATGTCCTTAGATATGTCTTTTCACCGAGAAAATAAAAACGAGGACTAACAATAATTTCATGTAGCCGTAGAGAGCTAGCGAGATAGAGAAAGAAACAAAAACAATTCTATACCTTTTCCCCTTTGTTTGTTTATAGATTCTCTTTTTATATTAATTTTCAATTATAGAGTGCAGTGTCGCCAATTCAAAAATATATATAGAAACTTTTTTAACTAAATTCGACGAATGATAAGAATATTTTTCTAGTCCAAATTGACCACTAAATGGACACTATTAAACGCGAATAATATATGTCGACAACTAGGACATTGATATTTTGAGTTGTCCAACAAGGTGCAGGTACTTATTAGTACCTGTTTTCAATTAAAAAAAAACATTAAACAAATTACAAAAAACTACTAGTCATTAGTAACAAGGTT